TTCGTCTCGAAGGGGGGAATATCGTATCTGAAGATTATGCCTTTGTTAAATGTTTTGGAGGAACAAAGAATGTTGTTTTATGATCTTAGTTCAAATGTAGCGTTTGGAGGGTGATGCCCCAGGGGAGACTGGTGATTGGCCAGAAGAGGGAGTCACCCCTCTTTTTGCATTGTTTATAAATAGGGGTTAAACGATGAGACGTCAGAGCAGCCCCTAGAATGGGAGGACACTGTTCTCCAGACCTCGCGAGTCTGTTACTCATGCTGAAGCTTGTGGTCTGAATAAACCTTATGATCAACGTTCAGTATGAGCAGACTCCTTTTGTTGACAGCAATAATGACCACCATTCATCATATACGACATACGCAAGTATAAACACCATGGGACCACACAGCCGTCATACTGCTCAGGAAGGAGACGCGTTCTGTCTCCTAGAGATGAATGTACTTTGGTGCGAAAAGTGAAAATCAATCCCAGAACAACATCAAAGGACCTTGTGAAGATGCTGGAGGAAAATACAAAAGTATTTATATCCACAGTAAAACGAGTCCTATATCGACATAACCTGAAAGCCCGCTCAGCAAGGAAGAAGCCACTGCTCCAAAACCGCCATAAAAAAGCCAGACTACGGTTTGCAACTACACATGGGGACAAAGATTGTACTTTTTGGAGAAATGTCCTCAGGTCTGATGAAACAAAAATATAATTGTTTGGCCATAATGACCATCGTTATGTTTGTAGGAAAAAGGGTGTTGCTTGCAAGCCGAAGAACACCATCCCAACCATGAAGCACGGGGGTGCTGTGGAGGTGCTTTGCTGCTGGAGGGACTGGTGCACTTCACAAAATAGATGGCATCATGGGGAAGGAAAATTATGTGGATATATTGAAGCAACATCTCAAGACATCAGTCAGGAAGTTAAAGCTCGGTCGCAAAAGGGTCTTCCAAATGGACAATGACCCCAAGCATACTTCCAAAGTTGTGGCAAAATGGCTTAAGGACAACAAAGTCAAGGTATTGGAGTGGCCATCACAAAGCCCTGACCTCAATCCTATAGAAAATGTGTGTGCAGAACTGAAAAAGCATGTGCGAGCAAGGAGGCCTACAAACCTGACTCCGTTACACCAGCTCTGTCGGGAGGAATGGGCTAAAATTCACCAAACGTATTGTGGGAAGCTTGTGGAAGGCTACCCAAAACGTTTGACCCAAGTTAAACAATTTAAAGGCAATGCTACCAAATACTAATTGAGTGTATGTAAACTTCTGACCTATGGGGCAATCTATCAGTCTCATTATAATAAACCAAATTAAAATCCCCACCAACTATAATCTGACTGGATGGATATTTTCTCAGAAGACTTTCTCAGAAGACAGAAGACTCCTCTAGAAGTAAGTCATTTGGAGGAACAGTATCCATATACATTACACAACACAGATAATCTGTCCATGTGGTTGATGACCGCTACTAGCCAATGTCCATTTGAGTAAACAAAAATGTCCCTTTGAAATTGTGTGCTAAAATTGCAACCCCAGTTGAATGATTAGTCCCGTGGGCCAAGAAAATGTCACTGCCCCACTGATATTTCTAAAAATTAAAGTCCTCTTTGCATGAATGTGTCTCTTGAACGAATACAAGATCTGCGTTGCAGTCTTTACCAAAAAAAAAAAAAAGCTTTCCTCTTCAACAGGTTTTATATTCCCCCTGGCATTGATTGACATAAACTTAAAGTCCATATATACAAAATAGAAAGGAAAATCCTATGCAATCTCAACTCTAGCCTCTCTGTAAAAAGGTGCTTCATAAATGTATTAACAGAAGTCTTAACTTGTAAACCATAACACCACAATTCAAAACTAGAACGCTGAGTTTGTTGTGGGTGAAGGGGCTGCCTTGTAAGCCTACCGGCGGTGCAAATCACCCCAGTCTAATTTATTTTTTCAGTCGGCGAAAAAGGCTTGAATTCCCCTGTAGTGTCCACCCTTTCCTTGATTTCGGGCCTGTTGGACGAAAGGCCACAACTTTGCCTTTGCTGCCTTGTCTGCTGCAGTCAGATCCTCACCGAATCTAAATTCTCTCTCGATCAGAAAGGCGCTTTAATTTGGTTTCTTCCAAACTCCATCTCTCGCTGTGCGGAAAGCGAACTGGATGAGGATCAAGCGGCTGCCAATGGCATCTTGCTTCTTCCCAATACAATAAGCGACATCCACAGCCAACGATGAGGACACCATAAAGCCGTAGCCATCTTCTCCGGTATCGCTCTGCTTCCGACAAGCGCTCTTGCATGTCGGTAATGGCCTTCTCCTGTGCAGTACATTTATCAGAGGTTGCTGTGTTTGCACGTTTAAGATCTTTGATACTCTCGCATACATGATTGAGAGGTCTCGAGGTCAACAATTTTTATGTGATTTCGCGTATCATTTTCTCCAGACCATCGGCTCTTTCGTTTATCTTTGCAGTGACAGCATCGATTATGTTGACCTGGAGTTTGTGCAAAGACAATTATTTCTGTGTATTTTTGGGTGCAGGGCTATTAACTGGAGTTTCTGAATCAACCGAATGTCCAGATTCCTCCATTTCTTCTCCTGAGTTGTCAGGTGGCGGTTTCTCTCCGGTGTATGAGTGGTCAGCTAGCAACTGCCTTCTCCTCCCTTTGCTCTTTCTTCCATTTTTTTCTTCCATTTTGCCAAGTTTCATATCAAATTACTGGTCTACTGAGCGTTTTTCTCTGTGTTTACTATAAACCGAGTTTTGTTAAATTTTAAGTAAGTTTGAGAGGGATAAAAGTTAGTTACTCGGAGCAAGATAAATTCCCGTCTGCACTCGCTGCCATCTTCTTTCGCTAGCTAATTCATGGGAGCCAGTTTCTGCCTTTCAAGCAGAGATACTAGTACCTAGCTATTTTAGGCAATACTGTAGCGAATGTAGCCCTTTTAAGCGGCATTGTTTGTTGTCGATAGGCTTTCCATATAAATATTTTTTCTACCAATGGGGACGTTAGAATATTATCTAGGACCATTGAACAGCTAGTTATTGCAGATACATTAGAGAAAGCGTAACTCTTTTTAGTGTGGTCACGTGATATCACTGACCGCCGACTTCTATCAATGGAGGGCGTCACAATAACATTAGATCAAAAAGAAAATGTAGATACGGTGTCACACTGCCACAATGTTTAATTTAGCCAGAATATCGACAAAAATGCCTAGGTTTTGTTCCATTTGACTCCATGAGATTTTGACCCCATGACTGTCCTAAAGGGCTGCTAGGATAAGGAATGATCTACTTCATTTCATTTCATTTGCCTAATTTGGAGTGAGATGGAGGTTGAAGTGAAGCTAGAGGAGGATGAGAGGGAGATATCCCAAGCTGTCTAGGTCTGATCTATTAGATACACAGGCAGGTAATGCATATGATATAAATCCTCATGAAATGACACCAGAGTAGATATGTGGTATTTTGTCTAAAGATACCAGAGCAAGAGATGGGGAGGTTAAATAGGCCTATTTACTGTTGGTGTTCAGGACAGAGAGATTACAGATAGTGTACTTGCTTCAAGTATCAACTCAGTGTCTCAGGACAAGGATGTAAAGAGAGGTAGACATTTTAATGTCCATACATACAGTGAATTCAGACCCCTTGACTTTTTCCAGCCTTATTCTAAAATTGATTAAATTGTTTTTGTCCCTAATCAATCTACACACAATAACCCATAATGACAAAGCAAAAACAGGTTTTTAGAAATTTTAGCAAATTAATTAAAAATTAAAAATATTTACAGAAATATTCACCACCATGCTTCACCGTAGGGATGGTGCCAGGTTTCCTACAGACATGATGCTTGGCATTCAGGCCAAAGAGTTCAATCTTGGTTTCATCAGACCAGAGAATCTTGTTTCTCATGGTCTGAGAGTCCTTTAGGTGCCTTTTGGCAAACTCCAAGCGGGCTGTTGTGCCTTTTACTGAGGAGTGGCTTCTGTCTGGCCACTCTACCATAAAGGCCTGATTGGTGGAGTGCTGCAGAGATGGTTGTCCTTCTGGAAGATTCTCCCATCTCCATAGAGGAACTCTGGAGCTCTGTCAGAGTGACCATCAGGTTCTTGGTCACCTCCCTGAACAAGGCCCTTCTCCCCCGATTGCTCAGTTTGGCTGGGGTGCCAACTCTAGGAAGAGTCATGGTGGTTCCAAACTTCTTCCATTTAAGAATGATGGAGGCCACTGTGTCCTTGGGGATCTTCAATGCTGCAGAAATGTTTTGGTACCCTTCCCCAGATCTGTGCCTCGATACAATCCTGTCTCGGAGCTCTACTGACAATTCCTTCGACCTCATGGCTTGGTTTTTGCTCTGACGTGCACTGTGAACTGTGGGACCTTGTATAGACAGGTGTGTTCCTTTCCAAATCATGTCCAATCAATTGAATTTACCGCTGGTGGACTCCAATCAAGTTGTAGGAACATCTCAAGGATGATCAATGGAAACAGGATGCACCGGAGCTCAATTTTGAGTCTCATAGCAAAGGGTCTGAATACTTATGTAAATAAGGTATTTCTGTTTTTATTTTTAATACATTTGCAAAAATTTCTACAAACCCGTTTTCGCTTTGTCATTATGGGGTAGTGTGTGTAGATTGAGGTAAAAAATGTGGAAAAAGGGAAGGGGTCTGAATACTTACCGAATGCACTGTAGCAAGATAACCCCTGCACATCTGTCAAAGATGAGTAAAATAAAAAAATACCACACAGTGATATTGGAAAGTATTTACATTGTCTCAATCACCACTGTCAGCTGCGGAAAGTAGTTATTCTAAACGTCAACCCAACTGCACAGCCAGAAGACCACAATCTAAAGAGTAAAAAAACAAATTGGCAGTTTGTTTGTAAATAACTCAAAACCAAGTAACATAAGAAGAACATTTGAGCATTGCAATAAAGTTGGTGTTGATTTCAATGTTGGATGTGGAGCAAAACAGAAACTGGACTTAAAGCTACTGACAAATGGTGTAATGATTCAGCTCTCAGATTTTGCCAAAGAAATTAATAGATCTACTCCGCATGTCATTTGTGAAATTCTAGATTACAACTTTGATCTCGGTTTGCAAATTGATCAACGGATAGAATTTACAAGCCGGATGATGACCAAAGTAAGGTACTTGATGACAAAAGCCAAAGTGGAAATACCTGAATTTGTAACAGATGTCTTTGAACTTCCTATGACAGTATCAACAACATGCCGCTCACGTGTAAAGCACTCAAATTACATTGTCAGCTAACCAGAGGTTGAAAGAAGATTTAGAAATAAGGCAATTTGTTATAAAGGAGGAGGAAGAATGTGCCTCTATAATGTCCTTTGAGGTAGATGGGTCGGTTGAGTATGAAAATGCTCAACAAGAAAACAATGTCTCTGATAAACTTTGACCTTTATGCTAGCCAGGTATCTCCTCATCAAGTCAAAGGGGCCATGTCTAATGAAACAGATGTACTACAGAGTGCTGTTGAAACAGGAACACTTGGCCTGAAGAATGGGCCTACTACTGACATCTGTATAAAGGACTAACTTAATCTGGACCGCATATTACAATGGAGACCAACTCTACTGACACAGATGCATCACTGTCTGATGAAGCAGTACACAGACCTAGAAGGGACCAATCTTTTATGACATCTTCAAAAGAAGATAAGACGAAGGACGTTGATGTGAAATCAAAAGGTGAGGCAAAATAAAAACTTGACTTGCGTTTATTGACCTGATTGAAGTGGTAAACTTTTGTGCTGAATTGTGGAACTTACAGGCAGAATATCATTGATGTCCTGGAGTACAATGTTGATTGTGATTTGCAAAATTATATGTATCTTCTTGAAAATATTTGAAAAATTGAAATGAAAATTAAAGTATTGTCACACATAATGAATCGAAGAACGACTTTGAAAGGGGCGATTTTCAACCTGACTGAAATCGCCCCAAAAGGGGCGGGGCCATTTGAAGCACGACTTTAGCCTGATTGGACATTTAGTGGCAGATCAGACGTCTAGATTAGAACACTGATAACTACTGTTGCCGTGATATAATTGATTAGAAAAAAAATCCCTTCCTTTTCCCGTTTGGCAGTGCGTCGCCCATATCGCCCTAATGAACACACCGCCCCTGGTCAAATATAAATGATCGATTTAGGAAGGATTTGGCAATATTAGATCAACTACAAAAGGCTAATACAAATGCAATCGGTATTGTTGTTGAAGGCATGGACATGTGCAAGAAGAAACACACTTGGGAATGGCTGGTCTTTTTGGATGAACCCAAACTAGTGTCAATGATGAAAGCATTCCAGACAGGCGAAGAAAGAAGAAAAGCTCTCTGCCACACCTGCAGAAGAATGGAAATTGTAAATGAATCGACAGGACAGACGGGATGTATTCGTCTTTTTTACTAATGAAACACAGCAAACGATACTGAACTAAACAGACCTTTGATGGCAGGTTTAACTTTGCACCTGTAACCTGGTGATGGCATTGCCTAGACAGCCCTTTCAAAAACATGTGCCAGAATGTGCTTTTCTGTCTAGCACCTTAGCGTTTGTATTCAGACTGGTGTTTGAACAATAAACAGCAATGCAACCTCAGACTGTTCAGACAAGAAGTAGAAGCAAGTAACATACACTACATGACCAAAAGTATGTGGACACCTGCTCATCGAACATCTCATTCCAAAATCATGGGCATTAATATGGAGTTGGTCCCCCCTTTGCTGCTATAACAGCCTCCACTCTTGTGGGAAGGCTTTCCACTAGATGTTGGAACATTGCTGCGGGAACTTGCTTCCATTCAGCCACGAGCATTAGTGAGGTCGGGCACTGATGTTGGGCAATTAGGCGTGGCTCGCAGTCGGCGTTCCAATTCATCCCAAAGGTGTTCGATGGGGTTGAGGTCAGGGTTCTGTGCAGGCCAGTCAAGTTCATCCACATCGATTTCGACAAACCATTTCTGTATGGACCTCGCTTTGTGCACGGGGGCATTGTCATACTGAAACAGGAAAGGGCCTTCCCAAAACTGTTGCCACAAAGTTGGAAGCACAGAATCGTCTAGAATGTCATTGTATGCTGTAGTGTTAAGATTTCCCTTCACTGGAACTAAGGGGTCTAGCCCGAACCATGAAAAACAGCCCCACACTGTTATTCCTCCTCCACCAAACTTTACAGTTGGCACTATGCATTGGGGCAGGTAGCGTTCTCCTGGCATCCGCCAAACCCAGATTCGTCCGTCGGACTGCCAGATGGTGAAGTGTGATTCAGAGAACATGTTTCCACTGCTCCAGAGTCCAATGGCGGCGAGCTTTACACCACTCCAGCCGACGCTTGGCATTGCGCATGGTGATCTTAGGCTTGTGTGCGGATGCTCGGCCATGGAAACCCATTTCATGAAACTCCTGATGAACAGTTCTTGTGCTGACCTTGCTTCCAGAGGCAGTTTGGAACTGCGCGCTTCAGCACTCGGCGGTCCCGTTCTGTGCGCTTGTGTGGCCTACCACTTCGTGGCTGAGCTGTTGTAGCTCCTAGACGTTTCCACTTCACAATAACAGCACTTACATTTGACCGGGGTAGCTCTAGCAGGGCAGAAATCTTACGAACTGACTTGTTGGAAAGGTGCTATCCTATGACGGTGCCACGTTGAAAGTCACTGAGCTCTTCAGTAAGGCCATTCTACTGCCAATGTTTGTCTATGGCGATTGCATGGCTATGTGCTCAATTTTATACACCTGTCAGCAACATGTGTGGCTGAAATAGCCGAATCCACTCATTTGAAGGGGTGTCCACATACCTTTGTATATACAGTGGGGAGAACAAGTATTTGATACACTGCCGATTTTGCAGGTTTTCCTACTTACAAAGCATGTAGAGGTCTGTAATTTTTATCATAGGTACACTTCAACTGTGAGAGACGGAATCTAAAACAAAAATCCAGAAAATCACATTGTATGATTTTTAATTAATTTGCATTTTATTGCATGACATAAGTATTTGATCACCTACCAACCAGTAAGAATTCCGGCTCTCACAGACCTGTTAGTTTTTCTTTAAGAAGCCCTCTTGTTCTCCACTCATTACCTCTATTAACTGCACCTGTTTGAACTCGTTACCTGTATAAAAGACACCTGTCCACACACTTAATCAAACAGACTCCAACCTCTCCACAATGGCCAAGACCAGAGAGCTGTGTAAGGACATCAGGGATAAAATTGTAGACCTGCACAAGGCTGGGATGGGCTACAGGACAATAGGCAAGCAGCTTGGTGAGAAGGCAACAACTGTTGGCGCAATTATTAGAAAATGGAAGAAGTTCAAGATGACGGTCAATCACCCTCGGTCTGGGGCTCCATGCAAGATCTCACCTCGTGGGGCATCAATGATCATGAGGAAGGTGATGGATCAGCCCAGAACTACACGGCAGGACCTGGTCAATGACCTGAAGAGAGCTGGGACCAAAGTCTCAAAGAAAACCATTAGTAACACACTACGCCGTCATGGATTAAAATCCTGCAGCGCACGCAAGGTCCCCATGCTCAAGCCAGCGCATGTCCAGGCCCGTCTGAAGTTTGCCAATGACCATCTGGATGATCCAGAGGAGGAATGGGAGAAGGTCATGTGGTCTGATGAGACAAAAATTTAGCTTTTTGGTCTAAACTCCACTCGCCGTGTTTGGAGGAAGAAGAAGGATGAGTACAACCCCAAGAACACCATCCAAACCGTGAAGCATGGAGGTGGAAACATAATTCTTTGGGGATGCTTTTCTGCAAAGGGGACAGGACGACTGCACCGTATTGAGGGGAGGATGGATGGGGCCATGTATCGCGAGATCTTGGCCAACAACCTCCTTCCCTCAGTAAGAGCATTGAAGATGGGTCGTTGCTGGGTCTTCCAGCATGACAACGACCCGAAACACACAGCCAGGGCAACTAAGGAGTGGCTCCGTAAGAAGCATCTCAAGGTCCTGGAGTGGCCTAGCCAGTCTCCAGACCTGAACCCAATAGAAAATCTTTGGAGGGAGCTGAAAGTCCGTATTGCCCAGCGACAGCCCCGAAACCTGAAGGATCTGGAGAAGGTCTGTATGGAGGAGTGGGCCAAAATCCCTGCTGCAGTGTGTGCAAACCTGGTCAAGACCTACAGGAAACGTATGATCTCTGTAATTGCAAACAAAGGTTTCTGTACCAAATATTAAGTTCTGCTTTTCTGATGTATCAAATACTTATGTCATGCAATAAAATGCAAATTAATTACTTAAAAATCATACAATGTGATTTTCTGGATTTTAGATTCTGTCTCTCACAGTTGAAGTGTACCTATGATAAAAATTACAGACCTCTACATGCTTTGTAAGTAGGAAAACCTGCAAAATCGGCAGTGTATCAAATACTTGTTCTCCCCACTGTAGTTAAGCACCTTTGTTTAATGACACTGTCAATAGGACTTCCATGTGATCTACAAAGGGCAAAGCTAGCTAGGACCAAAGAATACTTTGCTAGTTGAGGGTTGCGTTCAGCAGTAGCAACATTTTGGAACGTTCATGTAGCCTATTTCTATGTAGAACAAACATGCCTCTGACAAGTAGAATACGGAATCAGATCAGCTCTATTATGCTAAATCTATCTGAAACGTTTGGCAACTGAACTAGCCCGGTTTACATTTTTTAGTCACGTGGTGTCAGCTAAGACTTTTTCAAAGTAACAAAGAGGGTTTTTGACTTGATCTGCACCACAGCAAGAGGTGCTCCAAATGTTGCTCACTTGAATGGGGTTAATAGGGAGTGGAATGACTGTTTTTATAGGGTTGTGTTAGGATTAGGAATGATCAAATCTATGCCATTTCCTTAGAATTGACCCTGTCACCCAACTAGCCTACTTTGGAGTGAGATGGATGTAGAAGTAAAGCTAGATGAGAGGGATAGGCCTATATCCCCAGCTGTCGTAAGTTCGGATCGTTTTGATACACAGGCAGGTTATGTGTATGATATAAATCCTCATGAAGCGACGCCACAGCAGATGTGTGGTATTTTGTCAAAAGATACTGGAGCAAGAGATTGGGAGGTTAAGGCAGAATCAATAGGCCTAACTACTGTTGGTACTCAGGACAGGGAGATTACAGATAGTGTACTTGTTCCGAGTATCAACACCGTGTTTCAGGACAAGGCTGCAAAGATAGACATTCTGAATACAAATGTTGAAGGTAAAAATGTTCATGTCCATACAGAGCAACATAATCCTAGCACCTCTGTCAAAGATGAGTCATGTTTTGAAATACCACCCAGTGATATTCAAATTGGAAAAGTATTTACATTGTCTCAATCACCATTGTTAGCTGCAGAAAGTGGTTATTCTAGAGGTCAAATTGACCTAACTGCAACGGTATGAATTTGCAATTCGAACAATGATGAAAGTAAAGGGCTTGACAAAGCCCAAACTATGAAAACCTGAATTGTTAACTCAAGTCTTTGACAGTATACTTCCTATGACAGTATCAAAAACATGCAGCTCCTGTGTAAAGCACTCAAATAACAGGCCAAGTGTCTCCTCATATCAAAGAGACCATGTTTAATGAAACAGATGTACCACAGAGTGCTGTTGAAACAGCAACACTTGGCCTGCAGAATGGACCTACTGACATCTGCATAAAGGAAAAATCGCATCTGGAATTTACATCTGCTCAGCATGTTAATATGAAGACCATCTCTACTGACACAGATGTATCACTGTCTGATGAGGAAGCAGTGCACAGACATAGAAGGGACCAATCTTTTATGAAATCTACAACAGAAGATAAAATGAAGGACCTCTACCCCCTCTGTAAGAAAATAGGTTTAGACCTTGAAGTGAAAAAAAAAATGAAGCAATTTTATCTTGATTTCCAAAATGATGGAGATCTTCTTGAAAATATCATCGACAATTTACGCAGGAGGTGTGAATCATAGAATAGGGTTTATTTGGCCAATACAGCAGTCCACAGCAATGCGTGCAGTGCGACTTAAATGGGTACTGGGAAAACAAAACACACAGGTGAATATCCCGGCGATAAAAGTAACCCAATGCTCAACACGAGCTAGCGACACCTCTACATGGAACAATAACACACAAAGACATGGGGGAACAGAGGGAATAATTATACAGAGACTGATGAGGGGATATGTACCAGGTGTGTGTGAAAAACAAGACAAAACAAATGGAATGATGAAAAGAGGAGCGGCATTGGCTACAAGGCCGGTGACGACGAACGCTGAAGCCTGCCCGAACAAGGAGATGAGGCAGCTTCGGAGGGATGAGGCAGCTTCGGAGAGATGAGGCAGCCCCTTAACACGCAGCTCTAGCAGCGCGTCGACACCGGCCCTGGGGACGGCCAGGAGGACGCGGAGCGGGGCGATTCGGATGGCGACGGTGGAAATCCCGCAACAGGGAGGGATCGAGGACATCCTTCACCGGGACCCAGCACCGCTCCTCCGGACCGTACCCCTCCCACTCCACGAGGTTCTGAAGGCCCTCTGCCCGACGCCTCGAATCCAGGATGGAACGGAGGGAGTACGCCGGGGCGCCCTCGATGTCCAGAGGGGGCGGAGGGACCTCCCGCACCTCAGACTCCTGGAGCGGAACAGCCACCACCGGCCTGAGGAGACACACGTGAAACGATGAGTTAATACGGTAATCAGGAGGGAGCAGCAACCTATACGTAACCTCGTTCACTCTCCTCAGGACTTTGAACGGCCCCACAAACCGCGGGCCCAGCTTCCGGCAGTGCAGGTGGAGGGGCAGGTTCCGGGTCGAGAGCCAGACCCGATCACCCGGAAAAAAGACTGGGGCCTCACTGTGGTGGTGGTCAGCGTTAGACTTCTGGCGCTGCACGGCGCGCTGGAGGTAGACGTGGGCGGTGTTCCACGTCTCCTCAGCGCGCCGAAACCAGTCGTCCACCGCAGGAGCTTCGGTGTGGCTCTGATGCCATGGTGCCAGGACCGGATGATACCCTAAAACACATTGAAATGGTGACATGTTAGTGGAGGAGTGGCGGAGAGAGTTCTGGGCATATTCGGCCCATGGCAAGAACATGAGGAGACCACTCCCCCGGCCGGTCCTGGCAGTAGGACCGCAGAAACCTACCCACATCCTGATTCACCCGTTCCACCTGCCCATTAGATTCGGGGTGAAACCCAGAGGTCAGGCTAACCGAGACCCCCAGACGTTCCATGAACGCCTTCCAGACCCTAGACGTAAACTGGGGACCCCGGTCATGTCCTCTGGCACCCCGTAGTGCCGGAAGACGTGAGTAAAAAGGGCTTCTGCAGTTTGCAGGGCCGTGGGGATACCGGGCAGAGGAAAGGGGGTGGCAGGCTTTTGAAAAGCGGTCCACAACGACCAGGATGGTGGTGTTACCCTGAGAGAGGGGAAGATCAGTTAGAAAATAATCAATAAGTGGGACCATGGCCGTTGTGGAACTGGTAAGGGATGTAACTTACCCGCTGGAAGGTGCCTAGGTGCCTTACTCTGGGGGCACACCGAGCAGGAGGAGACATACACCCTCACTACCTTAGCCAAGGTAGGCCACCAGTACTTCCCGGTAAGGCAGCGCACTGTACGGCCGATGCCTGGGTGACCAGAGGAGGGGGACGTGTGTGCCCAATAGATAAGACGATCACAGACACTAGACGGCACGTACCAAAGCCCAGCTGGGCACTGAGGTGGAGATGGCTCTGTGCGTAACGCCCGCTCTATGTCCGCGTCCACCGCCCACACCACGGGCGCCACAATGCAGGAGGCCGGGAGTTTGGGGGTGTTATCAATGGGCCTCTCCTCTGTGTCGTACAGCCGTGACAGTGCGTCTGCCTTCACGTTCTTAGTGCCTGGTATATAGGACAGCGTGAAGAACCGGGTGAAGAACAAGGCCCACCTGGCCTGGCGAGGGTTCAGCTTCCTCGCTGCCCGGATGTACTCCAAGTTATGGTGGTCAGTCCAGACGAGGAAAGGGTGTTTAGCCCCCTCGAGCCAGTGCCTCCATGCTGTCAGGGCTCTGACAACAGCCAATAGCTCCCGATCACCAACGTCATAGTTCTGCTCCGCCGGGCTGAGCTTCTTAGAGAAGAAGGCACTGGGGCAGAGCTTGGGTGGTGTGCCCGAGCGTTGGGATAGGACAGCGCCTACCCCTACCTCGGACGTGTCCACCTCCACTACGAACGGCAATGAGGGATCGGGATGGACCAGTACCGGGGCTGAGGTGAACAGAGCCCTCAGGGTACTGAAAGCCCTGTCAGCCTCAGCAGACCAGCGGAGCCGGGACGGCCCACCCTTCAACAGAGAGGTGATGGGGACTGCGACGTTGCCAAAGCCCCGGATAAACTTCCGATAGTAATTGGCAAAGCCAATGCAGCACTGCACCTCCTTAACCGTGGTTGGAGTCAGCCAATTACGCAAGGCTGAAATGCAGTCTCACTCCATCTTCACACCTGAGGTGGTGATTTGGTATCCGAGGAAGGAGATGGATTGTTGGAAGAACAGACATTTTTCTGCCTTGGCATACAGGTCATGCTCCAACAGTCGCCCAAGCACTCTGCGAACCAGGGACACATGCTCGGCGCGCAGGATGTCATCGATGTAGACCACCACACCGCGACCAAGCACGTCCCGAAACACCTCGTTCACAAAGGACTGGAAGACTGATGGAGCATTCATCAACCCGTACGGCATCACAAGGTATTCATAATGCCCGTGGTGGTGCTAAATGCTGTCTTCCATTCGTCCCCTTCCCGGACACGCACCAGGTTGTACACACTCCTGAGATCTAATTTAGTGAAGAAGCGCGCCCCATGCATTGATTCGATCACAGAGGAAATTAGGGGTAGAGGATAACTATAGCGAATTGTAATTTAATATGTGCACGTTAATCCATGCAAGGGCGCAGACACCCGTCTTTCTTCTTCACGAAAAATAAACTTGAGAAGGCGGGTGAAGTGGAGGGATGTATGAACACCTGACGCAGGGACTCGGAGACGTATGTTTCCATAGCCTCCGTTTCAGCCTGAAACAGAGGATATACATGACTCCTGGGCAGCACAGCGTCTAACCGGAGGTTTATCGCGCAACCCCCCGCACGATGGGGTGGTAATTTGGTTGCCTGCGTTTTGGGAAAGGCGTGCGCCAAATCGAGGTATTCGGGGGGAATGCACATGGTGGAGGCATTGTCTGGACTTTCCACCGTGGTCGCACCAACGGAAACAGCTAGAGACCTACCATGACACTCTCGCAACCACCCCGTGAGAGCCCTCTGCGGCCATGAAAAGGTGGGGTTGTGTAGTGCTAGCCAGGGAAGGCCCAACACAACAGGGAAATCAAGGGACTCAATAATAATAAATGATTTGCTCATTATGGGTCTCCTGCGTAATCATAGTGACTGGTGCTGTAACCTCCCTAACAAAACCTGATCCTAATGGTTGATTGTCAAGTGCTTTGACGGGCAATGGAATAGACAGGGGAACCAATGTAATACGTAGACTAAGAGCTAAAGACCTGTCCATAAAGTTCCCAGCTGTGCCTGAATCTACCAGCGTCTTACACTGGGGAACTACCGGGTAATCAGGGAAGTTGATGTGGATGGTTAAATGTGCAGCAGAGGGCTCTGAGCGAGTGTGGGTTTGTGCTACCTGGGGTAACGCGAGAGTGCCCTTCCTGCCTGCCGCCTCCAGAACCAGAAGAACTCTGACGACATCGTGCAGCAGAATGTCCTCTTCTGCCACAAGAGTGACACTGGATCTGTCGTCCTCCATTCTCCCGGAACGCTGCACCACCCAGCTCCATCGGAACGTGAGCCGGGGTGAGGGGGGGGTGAAACAGCAGGTTATCCAACCGGATGGCCATGTCCACAAGTTGGTTGAAGGTCAGAGTGGTATCCTGGTTCGAATCCAGGCTCTGTCGCAGCCGGCCGCGACTGGGAGACTCATGGGCGGCGCACAATTGGCCCAGCGTCGTCCAGGGTAGGGGAGGGAATGGCCGGCAGGGATGTAGCTCAGTTGATAGAGCATGGCGTTTGCAACGCCAGGGTTGTGGGTTCGATTCCCACGGGGGGCCAGTATAAAAAAATATGTATTCACTAACTGTAAGTCGCTCTGGATAAGAGCGTCTGCTAAAATGACTAAAATGTAATGTAAATGTATCCCGGCAGGCTGCATCGGAAATGGTCGATGGGGGACCACTCGTTCCACCCGGACCAAGCCGCTAGGGTTCTAAACTCCAGGGCAAAGTCTTGCGCGGTCCCTTGATGTGAAAATAAATAAAATAAAATAAAAACTGGACTTGCATTTATTGACTAGAGGTGTAATTAATTGAATGGCACATTTTGCTGCTGAAGTGTGTGGAACCTACAGGCAGATTGTCCTTGCTGTTCTCGAGTACAATTTTGATCTGGATTTCCAAAATGATATAGATCTCCTTGAAAATATAATTAATAACATACGAATAGTCGAAAAGAAAAGGAAAAGCTGGTTGAAGGAGGGGAATCGAAGGAGGGGAGGGGATTGAAAGGAATGTTAAGAAAAAAAATACATGAATTGCTGAAGGAAAGATTCTCAATGGTGCCTTCCAAGAAAGGACTTGTTCTGGGATTTCAAATATAACAAATAGAAGGCGACAGTATTTAAGGACGAAAAAGGAAGAAAGAGCAACTTTAATAGCAAGGAAGATGGAGGCAGACAAATTTGATTTGAAAGAGCCAGACAAATTTCTCAGAGTGTAAAGACCGAGAGCGTCTTTACGTATCCCGCCTGAAATGAATTTCAGAGATCGCCATCTTGCCAGTGCTTTCGTGCATTCCTTGGACACAGTCAGGCGACAATACCGGTGTTCCTTGGGATGTAAACCCTAAGCATTGAACCACCTCTGCAGGGGTCTCAAGTGTAGAAGGCCCAATGGGGTCAAAAGAGTGGCTGCGGAGAGGAGACCCATCAGTCTCTGACGCTGAAGAACAGTCACCTTCTGGTCTTGGACAAAAGGATTGAGGTGAACTACAATTTTCTGGACTCGCTCTTCGGTGAGGTGAGTCAAACATTACAGATTGTGTGGGGACCAGGTGGCTTTTTTGCATCTTCAACCTGAGGCCTCACTATGAGATGTGGTTCAGGAGAGATGTTGTGTCTGCTGCTGCCTGTTCTCGTGACTGAGTGCAGATTAGCCAATTGTCTAGGTAATTGAGTACTATCATCCCTTGTGATGTTAGGGGTGCTAGAGCGGCATCCATGCATTTTGTGAATGTTCTTGGTGCCAGGGAGAAGCCGAAAGGTAACACTTGGTACTCGTACGCTATGCCGTTGACTGCAAAGCGAGCCGGGTGGATCAGTCCGTGGAAGTAGGCATCTTTTAGGTTGACAGTGGTGAACCACTGGCCTGGGCTGATAGCATGTTGAAGGGGAGGGTATTCAAACACAGGTTGAGAGGCCTCAAGTCCAGGATGGGGCGAAAGCCGCCATCCTTCTTGGGGACTAGGAAATATACTCCATAGAACCCACTGTGCTGTTCTGATGGTTTGAGTTGTCTGATTGCATTCTTCTCCAGCAGGGAGGCAATCTCCAGTTGGAGAGCTTCTCTTTTCAGGGGGTTGGCTGTTGTAGTTTACCAAACCCCTCTGAACAGTGGTGGCCGGCATCGTAGCTGGAGTTTGTACCCATATAGTACTGTATCCAACACCCAGGCTTCTCACACTTTGCCCGATGGGCTTGGGAGAAGTGGCCGATGCCGGGGCCACACCCATCAGGATGACCGTCCTTCTTCGGAGCAGAGGGACAGTGCTTGTTATGCCGCTACCTGTGCTGGTGGTGGCGCCACTGCTGACCAGGAGTCTGTTGACATAGCTGATCAGGGCATGGCTGGTTTTGGGGAGGGGCCAAGCGACCTTTCAAGGCAGGAGAGATCTGAGGTCCAGACTGCAATGGTCTCTGGGTAGGGTAACGTGGGGCAGGGGGACCCATGAAAGATTGCAGGGTCTCTCTGTCCTTCCGCAGCGTCGCCATTTGGTCCAAAATGGCATCCACACCAGGACCAAAAACTTGGCCTGGGGAGATGGGGAGCTCCATAAAAGGTTTCTTCACGGAGGCCGATATCTTTGTCTGTAAGACCCAGAGCTGTCTACATGACGAGATGACCGTAGACAGGGCTTTGCCATTAACACATGACATCTCAGCGTTTAAGAGCGAGAGGAGTGTGGACGCCTGAGTCATTTCAGCCGTCAGCTCAGGGTCAACGTCAGTGGACAGGCGAGCTATCAGACCGTGCAGGTATGCCTGCAGCAGAGTGGTCACATTCATGAGGCGAGCCACCATGGCCAAGGTCAGGAAGGTGTCCTTTAAATTGTCGTCAGCAGCCCGATGAGGACCCGGAGGACAACGCGGAGACCTACCAATGATCTCCTTGTCTGGGAGGACCATGGCCACAACAATGGAGTCCATGATGGGTCTGATCCAGTCGCAACTCCTCGGGAGAAGCCATGAATGTCCAAGGTTTGCACTGGCTTAAGAAATGGAACCTTGAGTTCACCTTAGCCCAAGATTGACGCAGTTCATTGGAGAACTTGGGGCACTGAGGAATGTACACTCTGCATGGGCTGCTGTTAGGGTCTGGATAAAAATTCAGAGCTTTCATGACCCTAGAGAGGAGCTCCTGCAAATCAGCTGATGGACAGGGCGCTTCACTCTCAGCCCTCTCTGAGCCATGGTTCACTGACCCAGAACCGGCCTCAGAGGTCTCTTCGTCTAGGTTATTACCAGCAAGGATAGAGATAGCATCAGGTTCCTTTCTTAAGTCTTCAACAGAGCCTGTCAGGCTGAGAGAGCGGAGCTGCGAAGACAGAGAGGCTGCCTATGCCTCCAACTCATCCAGAGTAGGTCCCCTGTCCTTCTTGGACTGCTTGGTGGGAGGGCTCACCGCTGAGGAGGGTTGTTTATGCTTGAGGCCGCTCCCGGAGCCTCGAGCATTTGTCTCCTTCATCATAGCTAATCGTGCTTCACATAGGTGTGGGCAGAGTAGCACAATACATGCAGCTGAAGGGGGAATCAACAGCCTGAATGGCATGCTCTAAGCCTAGGCACATCATATAGGTGGAATCGGCATCAACATGTCTCAGACTGCTTTCGAAAACAAATTCCAACAAATCCTTGCTGAATACAAATCAGACATCCTGCCACTCATAGTTAAGGAATATGACAGATTAACTCCCTCTGAAAAGACAATGATGTCCCTCGTAAATGAGCTCTTCTGTGTCTTACATTTGACACCTAGCTCACCAGGCAAAAGAGCAGGAGTGCAAAATGGATGGTAAATCTGTTGAGTTCAGAACCTTTTTGACCAGTAGAGGAGAATTTGACAATGTGCCCTTATCTCTGTCCAGCAGAAACAGAATGAACAGTCTTTTTCATAATTGTGCAGGGGTCTATAGCATATGTGAGGATATGGTTGAGTTCACCAGTGGGTACGTAGATGAAAGTAGTATACTTGCAGCAGTTGCTGCTGTTTTAGAGGTTCAACAGTTCAAGGCAGGATGCAGATCTCTGGGTCTGATATCTAAGATAATCATTGATCCTCTCTGGAGGGTCCTGACTTCAAATCGAAATGTGTTGGCAATGGAAGTGAGATACCAAATCCTTGTTACCAAGCTCAAGGAATGGCAAGAAGATGGGAGACACCTTGTTGAAGGAAATGAATGCTTGTTTGATGACATTGAGGTACACAAAGACCTAGTGTTTTGCAGGCTTACCATGTGGACAGAGCCAGACTTTTTTCAGTTGACAGTTCAGATTGTAGAGTTGCTCCTAGACAGTTTTTTGAAGGTTTGTTGTAAGGTCCTGCCAGTCAATCTAGAACCCTCTGACATGATAAATAGGGTGGAGTCAGAGTCAAACATGGATGTTCACTGTGGATTTTTTTTTTGCACCATTGAGCATTTGTAGAAGGCTAGGTCAAATGCAATCAGCATTGCGCTTGAAAGCATGGTCATGTTCAAGAATAATCGTACATGGGAATGGCTTGTGTCATTGGACAAACAAAAACAAGTTACAGTGTTAAAAGCACTACGGAAAGCAGTTAAACAGAAAGGGCTGGCTGAAGGTAAAACAAAAGCAAATGAGCATAGTGTAATTGTGACAAAAGAACAGAATCTGGCTGCATCCAGCACTAAGGCAAAAATTAAATCAAAGCATTAAAAAAACAGGGTTGGAGAAGAAAGCAAGGAAAGCTTTGGAAAAGCTAACACCCAAGAAAAAGACTCACGCAATGGCTCAACAGAACAGTATGCCAGATAAGACGAAGAGTATGGAAGACCGTGAAATAGAAGCAATGGAGCAGACTGAACCAGACATTGAGAAATCAAATAAAAGGAAAACTTTTGATGAACCAACGGCCAATAGAGAGTCTACGGAATGAGAGCAATTACCGCATGCTGGATAAAGCAGAGAAAATGAAAGGCATGGCAATCAAGCCTGGACATACTGCAGCTGTGACGAAACGACAGAAACTGTCTGAACATAAGAATGCCTGTTAAAGCAATCATGAAACTTGGGCTTTAGGTGAAAGTAGCAAGAGCTCAGCAACCACCACAACAGTGTGAGAAAAGCACAGAATAAGCATGAAGAAAACCATAAAATAGTTATAAATCAAAAGAGGGAACTTTGTGAAAAACCTGACAGTGTAAGTTTGTTTACCACAAAGAGAGCAGGGGATGATGAGAAGGGTGACAAAATTGAACTATTTGAATGAAGAGTTGAAACAGTATGGTGCCTTGTGGAAGAAAGTGAAGGATATTGATAAAATGTTAGCCTCTTTAAATGAGAACGATAGACACTCTGCAGTGAAATGCCAACTTCTGTTTCATAGGTTTGTTCTTGGTGTAATAAATGAGCGAGGTGTCCTCTACACCTCAGTTGCAGGGAGGATATTAGGTTTAGAGGACATAGTGCTGAAATTAAAAACATCCATATCAATAACCTAATTGGCACAATTAGAGGACCATAAAAGATGGCACTACAGTGAGGAGAGCCAACACCATTTTCTCTTTTAGATGTTTCTTTTTTAGCTGTATGGATAGATATACACAGCAAATCCTCAAACTCCATAAATTGTTGTTGACATCATCAATTAGTAGACTAGTAGACAATTAGGAGGCAATGCTACTCATAATTGGTTAACATCACATGATGCACACCGAGGATGTCATTGGAAAAACGTATCTTCTATCTTTTTTTATCACAAAACATAGAAACGCACAATTCTCACATGCTGTTGTTCGGGTGGTGCTGGAGATGAAGAATATGAAGTTGAAACATTTTGAAATGTCCCTTTAAGTAGATGTATTTTAGAGCTTTCCAATAACATTACTACAATCGGCACCATATGTAATTGGGAATTAACAATTCTAGATCTCTGAAATAAATTGCACAGTTAACAAAACCACAACTTGAAAAATACACAAAGCACTCTCAGGATATTAGGGACAATTTAAGAACACGAGACATTTGATTTGCATTCGTAACATTGGTTTTCTACTTCACAGTTCACCCAAATAATACTTTTAGGACTATTTATTTGCTTTTACGCATGTACTGTAGTTTAAGCTTAGTTGTTAAAGGGTTGACAGCAATTTCCCTTAGCCTCCTCGTCACACCTTTCGGTGCTTGATCTTACTTTAACTAGACCCAATGAGAGACAGCTTAAAGGGATTACAAAAGCAAAACATATTAATGGCCTCAGTTCAATTTTGATTTGAGTTATTAAATCTGGACCTGTATTTCACCTTTTTGATTGACCACTTGAAATACCTTATTGAATCACTATCTGTATTGATAGTGAAACAAGGCTATAATATCTGTCAACCAGGATTTTTATTTCAACAGGTGATATTGCCTAGTTTTGATGATTTTGTTTTTTTGCGCAGATGTTTCACAGCCATTTCTGGAGTGGCTGTTTTTTCTCCTATTTTCCATTTTGTTGTAATTTTTTGAAGGGGAATAACACTATCAAGAGACAATTCTTTCATGTTTTGACTTAAGGAGCCTCGGTTTTTAACAAGGCAGGGAATTTAACTTTTTAATGCACTCATCATAAAGGTACAGTGCCTTGCAAAAGTATTCATCCCCCTTGGCGTTTTTCCTATTTTGTAGCATTACAACCTGTAATTTAAATGGATTTTTATTTGGATTTCATGTAATGGACATACATAAAATTGTCCAAATTGGTGAAGTGAAATAAAAAAAATAACTTGTTTCAAAAAATTCTAAAAAATAAATAACGGAAAAGTGGAGCGTGCATATATATTCACCCCCTTTGCTATGAAGCCCCTAAATAAGATCTGGTGCAACCAATTACCTTCAGAAGTGACATAATTAGTTAAATAAAGTCCACCTGTGTGCAATCTAAGTGTCACATGATCTGTCACATGATTTAAGTATATATACACACTTGTTCTGAAAGGCCCCAGAGTCTGCAACACCACTAAGCAAGGGGCACCACCAAGCAAGCGGCACCATGAAGACCAAGGAGCTCTCTAAACAGGTCAGGGACAAAGTTGTGGAGGAGTACAGATCAGGGTTGGGTTATAAAAAAATATCCGAAACGTTGAACATTCCACGAAGCACCATTAAATCCATTATTAAAAAATGGAAAGAATATGGCACCACAACAAACCTGCCAAGAGAGGGCCGCCCACCAAATCTCACTGACCAGGCAAGGAGGGCATTAATCAGAGAGGCAACAAAGAGACCAAAGATAACCCTGAAGGAGCTGCAAAGCGCCACAGCGGAGATTGGAGTATCTGTCCATAGGACCACTTTAAGCCGTACAATCCACAGAGCTGGGCTTTACGGAAGAGTGGCCAGAAAAAAAGCCATTGCTTAAAGAAAAAAATAAGCAAACACGTTTGGTGTTCGCCAAAAGGCATATGAAAGAAGGTACTCTGGTCAGATGAGACTAAAATTGAGCTTTTTGGCCATCAAGGAAAACGCTATGTCTGGCGCAAACCCAACACCTCTCATCACCCCAAGAACACCATCCCCACAGTGAAGCATGGTGGTGGCAGCATCATGCTGTGGGGATATTTTTCATCGGCAGGGACTGGGAAGCTGGTTAGAATTGAAGGAATGATGAATGGTGCTAAATGCAGGGAAACCTGTTTCAGTCTTCTAGAGATTTGAGACTGGGATGGAGGTTCACCTTCCAGCAGGACAATGACCCTAAGCATACTGCTAAAGCAACACTTGAGTGGTTTAAGGGGAAACATTGAAATGTCTTGGAATGGCCTAGTCAAAGCCCAGACCTCAATCTGATTGAGAATCTGTGGTATGACTTAAAGATTGCTGTACACCAGCGGAACCCATCCAACTTGAAGGAGCAGTTTTGCCTTGAAGAATGGGCAAAAATCCCAGTGGCTAGATATGCGAAGCTTATAGAGACATACCCCAAGAGCCTTGCAGCTGTAATTGCTGCAAAAGCTGGCTCTACAAAGTATTGACTTTGGGGGGGGGTGAATAGTTATGCACGCTCAAGTTTTTTTTGTGTGTCTTATTTCTTGTTTGTTTCACAAGAAAAAATATTTTGCATCTTCAAAGTGGTAGGCATGTTGTGTAAATCAAATGATACAAACCCCCCCAAAAATTACTTTTAATTCCAGCGTATAAGGCAACAGAATAGGAAAAATGCCAAGGGGGGTGAATACTTTCGCAAGCCACTGTATGTTTTGAATGGTATGAAGGTGAGTTTTGAATGTACCATGCATCTTTATACTTTTAGGTTGTGATACCTTCATGGTTAGTTCCCCCCCATATAGTATGTAGTAGTAATCCTTCTACCCCCCCTTACCCCAACCCAAAGAAAGAAAAAAAAACATATTGTAAAGTAGTTATCCCACTGGCTATAAGGTGAATGCACCAATTTGTAAGTCGCTCTGGATAAGAGTGTCTGCTAAATGACGTAAATGTATGTGAAGGGCCATTGACTCCCGAGTGGCACAGTGGACTAAGGCACTGCATCGCAGTGCTAGCTGTGCCACTAGAGATCCTGGTTAGAGTCCAGGCTCTGTCACAGCCAGCCGCAACCGGAAGACCCATGGGCGGCGCACAATTGGTCCAGCGTCGTCCAAAGTAGGGGAGGGTTTGGCCGGCAGGGATGTGGTTTCGTTTCCCACGGGGGGCCAGTATGAAAAAAACCAACAAAAAAAAACGTATGCATTCACTAACTGTAAGTTTGTAGGCCTTGCTCGCACACGCTTTTTCAGTTCTGCCCACAAATGTTCTATAGGATTGAGGTCAGGGCTTTGTGAAGGCCACTCCAATACCTTGACTTTGTTGTCCTTAAGCCATTTTGCCACAACTTTGGAAGTATGCTTGGGGTCAGCAGCAAAGCACCCCCACAGCATGATGCTGCCACCCCCCTACTTCATGGTTGGGATGGTGTTCTTCGGCTTGCAAGCCTTCCCCTTTTTCCTCCAAAGATAACGATGGTCATTATGGCCAAACAGTTCTATTTTTGTTTCATCAGACCAGAGGACATTTCTCCAAAAAGTACGATCTTTGTCCCCATGTGCAGTTGCAAACCGTAGTCTGGCTTTTTTATGGCGGTTTTGGAGCAGTGGCTTCATCCTTGCTGAGAGGCCTTTCAGGTTATGACGATATAGGACTCATTTTACTGTGGATATAGATATTTTGTACCTGTTTCCTCCAGCATCTTCACAAGGTCCTCTGCTGTTGTTCTGGGATTGATTTGCACTTTACGCACCAAAGTACGTTCATCTCTAGGAGACAGAATGTGTCTCCTTCCTGAGCGGTATGACGGCTGCGTGGTCCCATGGTGTTTATACTTGCGTACTATTGTTTGTACAGATGAACGTGGTACTTTCAGGCATTTGGAAATTGCTCCCAAGGATGAATCAGACTTATGGAGGTCTACAAAAACAAATTCTGAG